TTTTTTTTTTTTTTTTTTTTTTTTTTTTTTTTTTTTTAACAGTTCTTTTGTGCAATATTAGAATACAAAATTTGCAGCCTAGATCCGATCAAGAATCTTCGAAGTTTAAAGTCTCTAGTTTAAAGTCTCTCAATACTTTTAATCTGTATTTAATTGATCTTTTAGGCATTCTTATTTTCAAACTCACATTGTGATGCAAAACGGGAACGGGAGATTCTATTAGATACAAAATTAAACTGATTTTTCACTTCGGTGGTGCTAGAACCAGAAGAAAGAAGAGGGGGGAAAAGGAAAGCAAAAGGTGAGAGCATTTTGTTACAAGATTCCACAAAGCTTTAAAGCAGGCAATTGTGGAAGTGGGGACAGCGACCACGATGAAATCACAACGTTGGCAGTGGTTGGATTTACTTATAAGAAGTGTAGTGCGACCTGATAAAAGCCTTCAATCAATCATATGTCTCTCTGTATCCTTCCGTCTCCCCTAAGTTACTGAACTTTTAAGTTTCAAATTGTCTTTTTTTCTTTATATTGTTATTATTTGTCTACTTGCCTCGTACTCCTATTAACCAACTTATGTAATTTATGAGTGTATGTAAACTCAAAGTTACATCAACTACAAAATGAGGAGATAAATATTTTAAAAATCCCACTCAAATTCTTTGGTAGTTAAGATCTGTAATCTATTTTCTAACATCAGAGATCTGTAAATGTTTCTATCAATGACGTTTGTTAGGCAACCTCATAGATTCATAAATTTGTATGTACTCCATAGATAATATTTAAAAAGAAGTGCTTTATTAGTTTCAATAAATAAATAAATAAATAAAATCAAAAAGTGCTTGTTGTTTTTTATGATTGGAATGAAGAAGAGGCTAATTTGGTAACAGAGTTCCTCCAATTGGGACAAATAGAGAGTTCATAATTGCACAAAGACTAATAAAGAAAAATCCACTGAGATAGAAACATAAAAAAACCCAAAGAGGTGAAGTTTAAAAAGTGAATATTTCAATTTTCAAGTTCGGGCCTAATAAAGTTTTTGATCTATTCGATATTTTTTAAATTCATTGAGTGTATTGATATGCATTAACTACATTTAAATTTATGGAGTAAAAAGGGAATATACAAAGTTTTAGAGCTACCTTTATTGAGTTTTCTTCCCAAATTCAAAGCCGTTAACTTCTAGTATTCATTCGATACGCTGATATCTGGAACATAACTCAATTCGTTAGACACATATATATTCAATAAAAACAAAAAAAAGATGACTGTTTGGTCCCACTAAGCTGGAAATTTTCTTCACGTCCGACTTACGTTGGGGCCTTGATAGTAGTACAATGTTAGAGGCTAGGAGGTCAGATCATTAGCAAAAGACTGGTGCTTGCAGTCCTTGGACATCCCCTGAAGATTCCTCACTCTCTGCTATCATACTACCAAAAATTAGTCATTTCATCGTACTCTTTGTCCATTCCTCCTTGTAATATTTTGGTATCATCTATCTATTTTATTGTGGGGCTACACCTTTGTTGTTTTGCCTTTAGGTTTCATTCCGAAGATTCCATACCAGTTAAGTCGTCGTCCTTTACGTGGTCACTAATATGTCGTTCTGGTGGGTTAGGAGAAATAAGTCCTTATTGGTTTGATTTTGGTTGCATTTCCAAACACTAGATGAGTAGAATGTAACTCTAGCTTGTTGTGAGTTATCGACTCAAGAAGTCATTGATGCACTTCTTGGCAATGAAATCTAAAGACTACATAGAGAGAGAGAGGGGAGAGAACTTGCCGTGTTCTCCCCCGAGAAAGAAACAATTTCATTGATGCCCTTTCGCCGAAAAAAAAAAGCTGACTGACAAGCTTTTAAGTTGCCAATAAGAGTATCTATCATAGATAAGTGGATAAGATACTAATGTACTATTTATGATAGTTCAATGTCCCACCATGCGAGAATTCGCAATTGTTGAACTCGTGGAAGTTTTTGAGGTTTTGAAGATGCATGATTGAACACTATCTCGAACCTTCTCTTCTCCTCACTATCTATGATGTTTTATCAGGTGGCATTTCAGGTTCTGGCAAAAATATTCACCATGTGGACTCATTCGACGACCCTAAGGTTTTTTCACTGGAGCTCTTGTGTTGGTGCTCCATCATTCTAGTAAAATTTAACCCGGTTATGGTGATGGTACAGGGCTATTTAGATGAAGGGGAAGCCATGAATTCTGAGCCTAACAAAGAAAAGAAAAGGAACAAGAAGAGAATGAAAAGCAAAAGGTTGAAATTCCTAAATGGTTTTGTTTATGCTCTATATAGTTCTAGTGTTGCCTCTACTTCCTCATGATAAATCTGTTGTGCAGCAGACTGTTGAGGACTCCGAGTGTGGGGAAGAAGCCCAAAAAGAAGTTGAAATTATGAGCTGAAACAAGACATGGACCTTCCTAATAACTGCCAATAGTTCAGTCTTCTGAAGAATGGGGAATAACTTGAAAAAGGAGTCGACAAGGCAGTTTTTAAGCCCTATAGGGTTGCTGTTCCTGGTATTTTGAACAAGGAAAACTATTAAATCCCAGATTCATGAGCCTAAAACACTTGATCGACTTGGTTTCACTTTGCGAAAAATCGCTGTTTAGCCTCCCTTTCTTATATTGCAACATTCTTTTGTTATGAAATTGCAACTTTCTTTAAATCCAATGGCTTGGATTCAATTGATGGTAAGAGAAGTTTTTTCCCTATACATTCATGGCTTCTATCGCTTCAATGGCTCTTCTAGACAGTGATTTGCTTCTAAGCGTTTACAACTAGCCTTGAACATAATTAATTTTCTACCAGCTTAGATATTCTAGACTTCTAGTTCAAAGGATCAATAATCCCCAACGAAAATGAAGATTATAGTCTCAAAATCTAACCCAAAATCATGAAGCTATAAGTAACTAAGCTACCCCTAAAGGAAAAGTACTTAAGCTGATTAAAAAGAGGAAGGAACAATACGACTAATGCAGAAGCAGGTAGAAGATTGATTTTCATTCAATGAAACTACAATTTGCTCAAACTACAAGGATTTATACATAATTCCAGTCTATGGTACAGTCAGACAAAGAAACTGATAGCCAAGGAGATACACATTTATAATTCAAAAAGTGAGGCCAAAATATTATATCTAAGACGTATTTACTCACCTTTTCAATTTGTCTTAACACATGGGAAGCGGATTTGAACCTATGTAGGTATAAGCGCAAGTATCTGGCTCCTTATAATTCCCATGCATTTCTGTATTTCTGCATATAGCGGAAGGTTCTGAGGGCAACATGGCTGCAAACTATTGACAGCAGAATCCAGTACCTGAGCAACATCAGCTGGCGGAAACTGTCGTTCTGTGCATTTCTGCATGTTTATAGCAACAATCAGGATTTCGAAATCAAAAACTATTATCCTCATACGCAAGAGAAACGAGAACCAAGCATGCTAAAAGTACTTGACTATTATGTACATGATTCGCAACCAACAATATGCAAGATCACAATAATACTAGACAAAGCTAATGAGACGATTTCCCTGCCTTTCCACAAAACAAGAAAAAATTGCAACACCAATTTGTCAACGGTTACAGTGTAAGAAGTTCCTCTTCTAATATCCCCTTGAACTGTATGAATCAGTTTGTGATGAATAAACAACCAAATCTTCTTATTTATGCAAAACAGAAAATCAGAAACAAATTGGGGGTCATAGATCATTGATTCAACATCATTCCGGACAAATAATACATAATTGAGAGGAAGACTCGAATGAAGCTCCCTTTACCTGAATCATGAGTAAAGTGGCTACACAGTGCGCAATAAGTTCTGAAGGGATCTCCACTTCAGGCTTGTCGGATGGGCTATTGGACTTGGAACCAACTATATCATTAGCAGCTGATGGGTTTGATGCACCCACATTGAAATGATTCTGAGGTACTGGAGTGGCATTACTAGTATCTGCAGATGTTGATTTCACAGTTGGCAAGGCCAAATCATCTACTGAGAGTTTATTACTCACAAAATCAATGGCTTCTTCAATGTTCTCCAAATTACTTTCTCTTTTTTTCAGAGCAAGAATTGCCTGAAATGATTGTTAACAGCAAATGAAGTCAGAGGAAGCACAAAATCTACAGGAAAGAGATCTCCAACATGGACTCTGAAGGAAGCATTTAGGACTTGGAGGATTCAATAACTTGATGAAATTTTACAGTGTAAAGATTTGAAGTACATGCATGATAATCACAGTTACTTTTAAGCAAATCTAAATATCATGAAGTACATTACGTCTCTCTAATGGTTTGATTGGATAGTGAATTTTGTTCAATGGATATAGATATTAAATATCTGAGGGTTTAAAATATGGGATTTAAAAGGTACACAATCTTAAAGATACATATATGGAAATGCAAGAGAATTAATGTTTGGGAAATGAAATTGTGTATTTTATTCTGCAGATTGTTCTAGTTGAAATTTGATTTATGCAGTCAATTAGTTGAAATTATAAGAAAAAATTAGTGCTACGAAGTAATTTAGTAATTAATAGTTTTGTGAAGATTCATATTAGTTAACTATTGACTAGACAAGTATGTCCATTATTTACATGAACATTAAGCGGAAGATAGACTATTCATAATACCTAAACACCGACCAACTGATGATCAAAATGGTTAGATAATAGTAAAGGATAAACCTGCATTGCTTCATCGATCATTGTTTGAGCCTTTGCTCTGGAACTTCCCACAATTTCAGCCACATGGGAACCGGGTTCTTGAGCATGAGAGCAAGGGTCACCCAAATCATGCACTGGCTTGAGGAACATCAATGGTGAAGTCCCTTGATACGTATTGCGCTGCCTCAAGCTATACAGAGCAGAGGAGACCTATATATACTAATTAAAATAAGCACTTGAATAAAAAAAATGGGATTAAGCTGGAAATGGGATCATTAAAACGCATGCCTGTTCATTAACTTCATTCAACTGTAATAGCACAGCAGCATATTGCTTCTTAAAGTTCTCTGAATCCTTGAGCAAGTTGTCTCCATTTATTTGGTTTTCCAACACCTCATCATTCAAGCGCTTCAATTCAGACACCACCACCTCCTAGATTTAGGCACGCATCATTCAGGTTAAAAGACATTCAATTTGATGTAAAGGTTAAAGCAAAATAGATTTCTACCTTTCAAACTAGTCTCTCCCAGCGTAGGACAAATAAAATGTTACAAGTATTAATGAAAATGTAGGACAAATAAAATGTTACAAGTATTAATGAAAATGTATAGGGAATGTCATTAGGATACTATTAAAGAAATAACGGTAATTACTTAGGAGGGTTTTGTTGGATTATAAATGGAGGGAGTTAGGAAGATTGGAGGAATGGGAGTTGGTCCATTGTGGGACTTGAGATAGTGAGAATCCTCAAAAATGGTAATTTCTTTTTGATACTGCAATATAACACTTGTTTTCTTATAATTGAAATCTTGACATAAAGTTGATAATATGAAGCTAATATGATGAACTACCTTCTTGTCAAGTGCACGTGACAATTCAGACAGAGCATGAA